GAAGTTACAAACCGGCAAAATTGCATCTCATTATCACTGATATCGTTCTTAGTTTGTGCTGAGTTGGAATTTCTCTTTATTTTATTTGATAACAGATCCTCTCCACATATGTGGCATTTCTGAATGTTTCTCATTAGACGTCCCATCACCAGAGGAATTCAGCCCACCCATTTCAGACGGCTATCCATCATGAAAGACACAAAAGAAACAGGATTGCCCGTTTTGCGCCCCATAGCCACAAGAACCACCCTGAAACAAGCCCCACCCTCCAAACCCCAAGCAACTCCCGAAATCGAGAAAAAATACGTCCACCGCGTATATGACGCGATCGCCCCCCACTTCAGTTCGACTCGTTTTGCTAAATGGCCCAAAGTCCAGGCCTTCTTAAATTCCCTCCCCCCCGGATCACTCGTACTCGACGCTGGGTGTGGGAACGGGAAATACTTGGGCTTGAACCCAAACTGCTATTTCATCGGGTGTGACATCAGCGGGCCCCTCATTTACATATGCTCGGACAAAGGGCACGAAGTCCTAGTGGCTGATGCAGTCAATCTTCCTTACCGAACGGGCTACGGTGATGCCGCCATCTCCATAGCTGTTTTGCACCACCTCAGCACAGAAGGCCGGAGGAAAGGAGCTGTTGAAGAGTTGATTCGGAGTGTGAAGACAGGCGGGCTCGTCTTGATCACCGTTTGGGCCAGGGAACAAGAGGATAAAGCCCTGATAAATAAATGGACTCCTCTGAATCAGAAGTATGTTGAGGAGTGGATTGGGCCTGGCAGCCCGCGGGTGCGGAGCCCGTCGGGTTCGGTTTCTTTGGAAAGTATTCCGGAAACTGAGGAAGCTGTTTCTGGTTCATGTCCATCTCAGCAGGAATATTTTGTGCCCTGGCATTTGCCTTATCATCGGGCAGAGGTAAGTGGGGTGTCTGTTAGCGCTGTGGCCAATGGGCTGGCGAGGAAGGATGATAAGAAGGGCACGGTTGTGTACGACAGATATTATCATGTTTTTAGTGAAGGTGAACTTGAAAGGTGCAGTTTCTCTTTTTCTTTCCTCTAATTTTTATTCCTAAGTTTGTATTTATCTTTCTTTTTCCATGCCACATTCGCATAGGCACATCATTTAAACTATTTTACTATTTATATGATGAGAATATGGTGGATATTTGTAGTTGCTGTTGGCTGTTTCACAAGTAATAATTTTGTGCCGAAGCTTCTAGTACTTGGTGTTGAGCTCTTCAGTATAAACGAGCCTTCCAATTTGCATTTTTCGTGTGCTCAAAAGCCCTTCTCCTTGAGATACATATATTTGGTGACATATGTTTTGGGATTAGAGAATGTACTTGTTCATTGTTTGAGAAATCGAACAAAATTTCTCATATTTTAGATCTTTCCCTGATTTTCAAACCTATGCAAAATCCTTTATCCACACTTTTTCTTGCCATAACAAGAGTTTTTACTATATATCCAGGTTGGTGAGTGGCGTTGATGGTGCTGTCGTTGTGGACAGATTTTACGACAAATCAAACTGGTGCATTATCCTCGAGAAAACTTCATCATGAGTTTGTATATCATGTTTATAATGTGCAACAAATTCGGGGTTTAAGTAAAGTTTTTCAGCCCTAGACAACTTGCCATTTCGCATTCGAAGGTTGGAATGCAGAATGTGAGGAGGTTCATGAGATGGTTCATATTGTTACAAAAGCTATTTTCTTCTCGGCTGGTAAATTATATCTGTTCCAAGGTTTTCGTTTTTTCGTTTTAACAAATTGTGTAAGACCACTTGGCCCGATGTTGGATTATCATCTTATTCATTATCATATTTGGCCCAGATGTTGGATTATCATCTGAAAACAAACAGTATAATGATAGTGAAGATTAAAAAGAAACAGTCACTGTTCTGAAACATTCAAAGACTGCACTCAAAACTTTTTTATTTCTTGATACATAAATATCAAGAAACTATTATTATTATTATTATTATTTTTTTAAGTTTTCTTTCAGCTGCGGTCGACCAAAAAGGTAAAGACGCACGAAACTGACCTTCGAAGTGAAGTAAATTGCTGATTGTACGGACTGTGTTATAAAAGTTTTCTAAGTCTCGAAAGGAGAAGAACAATATCCAACCATCAATAACTGCTGCAGCCCTTGTAAAATATCTACCCAACTTTAATCATAATTCCTTTGTGTGCTTGGATGTAAGTTTTGATGATATTGGATTTATTGGTTAATCAGATTTGATTTTGAAAAAGTTGTTTGAGTTAGGTTTTAGTGGAATTTGAGTCTGTATTAAAATAATATTTCAAATAAAATGTTAAAAGTTGATTCGATATAAATAAAGGCGATAAGTGATTGAAAATGACGAGTAGTTAAAAAACTATGTGAGTGGATGAATATTAAATTAGAGTTGGTGTGAGGTCTGAAAACGATTGATTTATATTATTTAAATTATATTAATAATAGTAATTAGAGTTGTGATGAGTTAAATTTCATTTGAGTTAAAAAAAAAAAAATTGATTAGTGAAAAGTGATTAGATATTTTATATCCAAGCACTTTAAAACTTCAAATGTTTGCCCATAACTTATTTGTGCGCCTACATATTAAAAAAAACATTTGGCTTAGTATGTTTGTTAAACTTAGCTGATAAGGTAGTTTATAGTTTTTAAGTAAATTTCGAGCGTACAACTGATAACTTATGACGTATGATTGAAAAATTGCCTTATATAGTAGAAGTATTTAGTAAAATTAGTTGATAAGCTAGCT